GGTGAGGGGCGTGGGGCGGCCGGAGCCGGGCTGGAGAGGTGTTCTGGCCCTCTCCGGGGAGAAACGAGAAGTGAGGGGCGTCAGGAGGGTACCCCCAGCACCCTTATCGAAAAGCAGAGGTGTCCCGCAAGGTGTGTCCGGGGAGGCCTTGTTCTTCCAGCTCTTCCACCATAACCCTGCATCCCCTGGGTGCCGCGCTGAACACTCCCGAAATGCTTCGTGTTAGGGTCACTGGGGTTCTGTGGGAACGTGAGGTTTTCCTGGCTATACCTGACCCTGACAACAAATGCTTTGTGGAGCTGAGGATTGACGAAAAGAAGAAACAGAAGTAGCTTCCTACTAACTTGCTGCGTTAGGCAGTAATTAGAACAGGGTGCTCAGGCCGGTTCTTGTCTCTATACGACGAGATGACGTTGTCATTCAGGTTGAAGTTAAAGTGTAGCTTGAAAAAAATACACTTCCATGAAATGAAAATGTGGATTCTTAAAGTATAGTGAACTAAGGATTCTGGAAAGGTGACATAAAGGATAATTTTGGTCAGTTAAATGTGTATTGGTAGATCACATGTGGTTCCATGGATTATTTTTTTTACCATAATTAAAGACACTTGGCTCAACTGACTGCTGCTTTTTTTTTAATGAAATTATGGAAAGCAGTATTTAAGATGTGTAGCAAAGTGGTGCTCAGGCCGGTTCTTGTCTCTATACGATGAGATGACGTCATTCAGGTTGAAGTTAAAGTGTAGCTTGAAAAAAATACACTTCTGTGAAATGAAAATGTGGATTCTTAAAGTATAGTGAACTAAGGATTCTGGAAAGGTGACATAAAGGATAATTTTGGTCAGTTAAATGTGTATTGGTAGATCACATGTGGTTCCATGGATTATTTTTTTTACCATAATTAAAGACACTTGGCTCAACTGACTGCTGCTTTTTTTTTAATGAAATTATGGAAAGCAGTATTTAAGATGTGTAGCAAAGTAGTGGTTTGTCCACAGGTAGCCAAAAGTTTGAAAATAACCCACCCGTTGTTGGAGTTTGTGTACGTAACCTCTAATATTTCTGTCATTGCTGCTAGAACGGCATCTTCGGGGCTTGATCTGGGTCGAGGGAAAGCTCAGCGTGTGTGTGTGCACGCAACCACTGGGCTTTTTGTCCCTTCTACCAGGTCTTGTGTGCTAAGAAATAAGTCGTGGTATTAAGGAAATTCAAAATGTCTGGGTTTTGTTCCAGGTGGTGGTGTAAAAGATGAGGCTGCATGAGAGCAGGCCAGGATCCTTCCAGGCTCCCGTCACCATCCACAACTACCCGGGCAGGCAGGTGTATGTGTTTCCCAACGGCCGATCCGATTCAGAAGAATCGTCAGAGGAGGAACTCAATGTCATGGAATTGCGACCGAGGGGCAAGGAGCAGCAGCGATGCAGCACTTCTCGGGACAGAGTTGGAGATGTGGTACTTCTGGAGCGTGAGATTACAGAGGATGATAACCTTAACAAGCTAGCCCTGCAGTACGGCTGTAAAGTAAGAGCTGTCTCCGTTTGCTTTTAATTACTTTGAGGTGTTTTACGTGTGGCTTAGTTTGCAGATTTACAGGAAGGCATGGTGTTGTCTAATAGCTCTGACACTGAAAAGTGTTTGCCCGGTGTATGTCATGGATGGGGGATATCTGGGTAAAACTGAGCTGGAGAAATCCAAAAAAACCCCAAAACCAGAAAGAGCTCTTCCACTTACAGCCTAGGAAGATGTTGTCAGCATCAAACCCTCCGCGGCCTGCTTTCCTGTTTCATTTGGGTGACCGAGCGCAGCGTATCTTCATGATTTGTACTCGGTTGTTTAAGCGAGGGCAGAAGATCAGAGCTGAGTGCAGGGATGAGGGTCGGAGCCCCGCTTGCAGGGCACATACAGTGTCTGAAGGAAACTGAACGGTCCAAAGAAACTGCTCCGGTGGGCTCTGGTTGGGGTGTTGCTGTTTACCTTTTGAAAGGTATGAGCGTACGTATTGCAGGGAAGGTCTGAGTCTCACTTGGAGCGCTTGGGGCCGAGAGGTGCCGAAGTTCAGGTGGCAGAGTCCGGGTGCTGTCTGCGCGCGTGGGGTTTGACCCGGCAGGGCGTGCGGTT